ATAATAATAATAATAATAACAACAATAATAATAATAATAACAATAATAATATAAATAAATAATAATAAAAGTGAACAAGGAACAATAAAGAACAATAATTATAATTTTACTAATATAATTATATTTTAATTAATTTACCCCTTTATAATATATTTTGTATTTTTTATAATTTTTATACTAATTTTATAATTTATGTTTTTATATTTTATAAAATTTTTATATTTTCAGATCTTAAGTTTATGTTTTAAGACATGGAAGGTTTAATGGTTATTTTTATAAACATTATTACATTCCACGGAAACGTTCATTTTATTCACCTCTATTCTGATTCAAATTATAATAAATATTTAAAATTGAAATTTTGAGCAATTTTCATTACATTACGTGGTAAAATGTATACGTATCATTAAATATCGTAAAATTTAAAGGAATAATTTTTTGTTACATTTTTTATTTATGTGTATTATATATATATATATATATATATATATATATATATATATATATATATATGTATATCAGTTTTTTTTATATTTTTTATGTTTCACTTATGGTGAGAAAGTAAATAATAATGCTACAATTAAATGTAATTAAATATTGAAAAGTATTTATGTTTAGTAAATAATTTTAGTTTAACAAATAAATAAATAAAGTATAATAAATTTCGAAATTATTTATAATTATTCGTATTATACTTATAATTATTCGTAGTTAATAAATTAACAATAAATTATGAATAATTGTAAAACTAATTATTTGACCTATCTCATTATTATTAATTTATTATTATAGTTTGCAAATTATTCTGATGACTAAAATATTTTGTAATTGTAATTGTATGTAATTGTATTACGACATTATAAAATAGAGAATATTAATTTGATCGGAAAGCGATACTATGCAATTTGATAAAAGTGCCTAATTTCACTTTGTTTAACAATATGATCGAAATCATTAACTCATTGTTTCAAAAACAGTCGCAACAAAAATATATTCAATTTGTCATGTTTGGTATCATCAAATAGGGAATGAAAGGTACATAAAACAATGGGAAATCTATCGCCTTACTTGAGTTCGTGACGGAGTGCCATTTACTTTTCGCTCAATCCTGCACCAGCCAAAGGATCGCCTTCTCTATACATGTATAACATGTGTTATTCTAGAATAGGATATCAGATGAAATTCTAGTTAAAAAATAATCACACATATGAATCTCTACCACTTGTCTAAATTATTACAATGTTCTAGAGTTTGAATGCTGCCAGTTTTTACTATTGATTTACTGATAAGACTTGTGCTTTTAAATGTTTTGGTACAATACGAACATGTTTTTTATGAAGCATTATTACGATTAATGAAAAGATTTGTATATTTTACGACAAAATAAAGAAACGATTATTGCGAGTAACGAGTAAGACCAATTCATATTTATATGGTAGGCAATTACATATTTGTTTAGTTTAAAGTTAAAGGGAATTACTCTTCGTAATCTCAATAATATGAAAGTAGTGTCGTATTATTTTTAGCCTAATATTCGATTTATAGGATCCTAAAGAATATCTTATCGAGAGGCAATAGTATTTTGTAAAAAATTTTGAAGAATGATTGATTGGTCGGAGCTACTTTTATTGGCCATTGTCGCTCGAAAACTATAAGAATGTCCTTTAATATACATTTGCTCAGCTATTATCTTTACGCATATTAAATTATTCATAAAGTATCATTGAAACTAAAGCTCATTTAAAACTATATAACCTTGAATAAGTTAGACTATAAAAGTAACGTAGCTTGCAAAGTACTCCTTTTTTTTTTTTCCAAGCGCCGGAATTTGTCACTATGAATACTAATTTATTCGTATTTCGCCTTTCCAAAATCCCATATCGAAGCACTCCCCCCCCCCGGCCCCTCCCCCAATCCCTTCGCTAAATATCGAGCGATAAAACATAATCGACTGACAACAACGTCTTTTAATTATAACCGTAAACAATAAATTCACGTTGGAC